GTCGAGGGAGCAGACAACAACATGCTAGGCAAGGCCAAAATCAAAGCCCAGCACATCTCTCGCTCTTCAGCGGTATAGTCCGAGTGGACGGCAGACCAATACAGCTGGCTCAAGGTGGCAGCCATCAGCTTGGTCTCGGTGGCGTTGGATGGGTAGCGGCTGCGCTGCATCAGTGGATGCCGGGCGAGCTTGAGCAGCTCGCAGACACTGATGCGAGACCCTACACACTGTTGGGGCCAAGCGCCACGCATAATCTCAAGCAGGTCGTGTCCAGCCGCATGAAACAACGCCTCGGTCGCTCGCTTCAGTTTGGCACCACATCGGGAGCGGTGTTGACTGATACCAGCAGCTTCGAAGAAGAGGTGACACTTGTTGCACTGGGCGACCAATTTGGCCTCCATCACCTGCTTGACCAGATCAGTGGCTTGCTCGTCGTAGGGGTGCTCGCGTAGTACATGATTGACCCAAGCTTTGCGGTCAAGGCGGGGCCCCTTGCATTTGCAAAGCCCAAATGGGCAGGCGAGGAGTTGCCTGTGGCCAGATGTCTTCAGCAGGACCTTGCGCTGGGTATCCAGCACGTTGGCAGCGATGGGCGGAGCGGGATCGCTGAGAAGAACATCTTGCTCACTCTCACTGTGTTCGCCCGCTGTATTGTGTGTTTCACTTTCACTGACTTCGCCAAGTGGGGCTGAGTTTGCATGCTCACTGTGTTCGACAGGATGTGAAATGGCAGCGGGCAAAATGGTAGTGGCAGGGGGTGAAGCAGAGGGCGGAGAGGGATCGGAATGGGTTTGTTGTGTACCCGATGGATATGGCAGCACCATTTGAGCGGGTGTAGGTGATTGCACCAATGGCTCTGGCGTGGCACTGCCGTTTGTGTCACCGTCACCATCATGCGCGGGAGGGGCGATAGGGGTGGGCGCGCGGAGTGCGGTGGAGCGAGGAGGGGAGTCGCTTTCATCCGAAGACATGGTCAAAAATCCGATGGTGTGTTAGGAATCGAATGATGTGTCTGCC